CCCCACCGAACACAGGCCGCCCCACCCCTGCTGATTAACCACCACAGTCCTGATTTTATCTCCCACTTCAGCCTAGTCTGATCGCCCTTGACGACTCCCATTTCTAAAATGTGCCTTCCTGGACTATCTGTTTCGTACAACAAACTTGGCCTCCTTAGACCCTCCTTGACTGATCTAAGCAGAGCCTGTTCCTAGGCAGCTTTCCAAACACCTTGCACAGACAAGCTGTGGCTGGGTGGTCTCCCTCGCCAAGGCAACAGGCAAGCAGATCCATCCGCCCTCGCCCTCGGGACAGTGGTTCACAGTGCTGGAGCAGGACCGGTTCTGTGAGCTGCCAGCTCTCAGCAAGGCCCAGACTGCTGGGTCCCAGGCTGCTCTTTGACCTTGACCATGGGAACCAAGGGCAATCTGCAGAGTGAAAATGCCTTCATTTGAAGCAATGATTCTGGATTTGTTGGTTTGTTTTACTGTCCAACCACAACAAAGTGTCGCCCTTGACTTTCAAGGTTCCAGACACAGGAGTCACCACGGTGGCCAGGCACGTCTGCAAGGCCTAGCCCAGCCGGGGAGACTGGCTGAGCAGATGTGTACATCTGCAGTGAAGTGAGGAGGAACCAGAGAAACCACAACATTCCACTGAGTGAACTGGCCAGAAGTACTCCCAGTCGCCCAGCTGGCTTTAGGAGCAGAGATCGCAGGGCATCCTAAGTGCATTCCATCTGGGTTGCCTGGCCTGGTCTCCCCTTGCCTTCCACCCACGTCCTCCTCCATGGCATCCCTGCTGGCACCTCTTGGCATTGCCTGTGCTATGCCTCAGCAGGAATGCCATCTCTGTCCTGGCTGCCACGCCCCCCACTGCTGGCCTGTGCCTCTTCTCTGAGCTACCAGGAGACACACAGACATACACACACACAGACGTATGCAGCGCACCACGCCCTCGTGTCTGCACTCTATGCGCTATTACCCAGGTCACGAGCTTCGAGCAAGGGGGCTGGAGGTTAAAATACACAGACACACACAGACAAACAGCGACACGGGTCATCCTTGAATTCCCCAAGAATGCCCCCCCCCTTTATTGTGTTCAGGGGCAGATTATATAGATAGCCACGCCCCAGCCAAACCCACCAGAAACAACTCTCCTGCCATCAGGAACTCCTGAAGGTCTCGTGCTCAGAGCAGCTGTAGGCACTCAGATCAGGGGATTACAAGAAACTCAGGATCTGGGGTCTCACTGCTCCCAACATCTCCCCCCTAAATTTTGTATAAAGCAGAAGACCCTCCTGACCACACAGCCTTTTGGTCTCTAGTGAACCTAGATTCACTTTGGCCAGAACTCTATTGAACCTGTACTCAGAAGAGAGCATCTCCTCAGGAGAATACTGGCTTTTAGCGAACACAAGAGAACAACTTAAGCCTGTAAGACAGGTACAATTCAAGTATCCCAGAGACTGCTGGTTCCTCATACTATTTCCCACACACCCTCGTCCCCTCAAGTGAACAGAGGTGTGTGTGACCATATCAGACTCGGGACTTTTAGGAGTGGCTTTGCCATGACCCCAGGAGCAGTCCCCTAAATACATTCCCCAGCTGCCATACCCCCGTGGCCATTCATTCTTGTCAGCTGAGTGCATGGAAGACAGCTTCTCGCTCGTGCACCTCTTTGGCTTCCCTAGCAGCCCAGCTGATCCTGCTTCTGCTAAGTGACCATGTGCTGCATTCTCATGGGCTGTCTGATCTTACACAGGATTTAAAGACGAATGCCCATGGCAACAGGCGTTAAGATTGCCAGCAGTAGGGTCCCCAGTCACCACTGGACCCAACCACCTCCCATTTGGGCTATGGTATTCAACCAGCCCTTTGGCTAAACAGTTACAATCTGGTGTGCTAATTGTAACATTTCAAGGGCTATTCAAGTAACCATTGAGTTGTCTCACCACATAAGAGGCATTAGCAATATTAACAGATGTCATACAAATGAAATAATGAACAAGACATTTGTTGTACTAGCCATAAGTCCTACAATAGGGAAGTCTCTTGATTTAAATTCACTCTGCTGCAGATTCTTCCCGTGTGCAGAGCCTGAAACTGCCACTGCCTTCTCCTTGCCCCGCGGCTGCATTCTCGGGCAGCCCAGTGGGGTCTGTGCTCCAGCTTGTCTCAGCTCCAGCACTTGTTGTTGCGTTTGCTGATACTCTTGGCACTGCTGTGGCATCCGCCAGGCTAGGCACCGACTGGGCTGAGGCAATGTGCCTTCCACCACAGCCACCTAGCAAAGCTCTGCTCCAGCTGCCTTCTAGCCCCCACTGCATTCGTTCTGGGTCCAAACTGGTGCATGAAGTGGAGCGGAACTCAGGAAAGCAGGCTTGCTGCTCTGCAAACACTGAAGGGGCCCCACTTAAATTATCTTTTAGGGAATTTGGGCGTTGTCAATCTGTCTGGCTACTCCTGCTGAGCGGGGATGCTGCATTCTTAGTGGTATTTACTGCAATTTACTGCCATTTTCCAGACCCGGGTCTTGGGGGGGGGGCGGGAGGGCGGAGGCTCCACCTCCCCACGCGAGCGGCTGCCCCCGGACCCTGTCGGTTGCCCCGGGCTGGGACAGAGGTCCAGGTCAACGGGCCGTGTGGCAGTCGGTTGTGCCGCTGCACCCTGAGGCCCACGCTGTAAGCCTTGTTGGTCCTCGAGGCAGATCCCGGGGTTTGCACGAGTTGCAGCCCCTCAGTGCCCACAGCCTGAAGCCGCTTGGCCTTGGAGCCACTGCTCACAACACCACTGCAACATTTCAGGAGGTCTCGGGGATTCAAACCACATGAATCTCGAATAAATCCTTAGGCTCTCGTCGTCTGTGGAGACAAAAACAGAACCTCTTTTCTAAAACATCAAATTCTTAAGCCCATATTTTAAAGTCAAGATACCTTTCTTAGCAGTTCCTAGAATCAAATGTCTTTCTCCAGAGCACAAAAGACAACACAGTCAACATATCACACATCTGTACACATTCATCTCTTTGAGCTACATACGTTCTATCTTTTCCCAATACATCGTCCCCTCTGGCCCAGGACAACCCTGTTCGTTTACCCCTCTTTCTCAGTTGACTTCCACTTGCTGCCAAACTGAGCGAAGGACATCAGGATTAACACATACCCCAATCCACCCTCACCTTCTGAGGGTGACCTCTCAGCGTTCCCTAGTTCCCAACCCCGCGCCCCGTGTCTGCGCTCTGTGCGCTGGCACCCAGTTACAGAGCTTCGGGCAAGGGGGCTGGAGGTTAAAATACACAAACACACACAGAGAGACAGCGACACGGGTCATTTGCGAGCTGAGCAGTGGGCCCCTTAAAAAGTCAAAGGAGTAAAACATACAACACCTGGCTGTCCTGAAACTTGCTCTATAGACCAGGTTGGCCTTGAACTCACAGAAATCTGCCTGCCTGCCTGTCTTCCGAGCACTGGGATGAAAGGTGTGCACCACCACAACCAGCTAAATATGTCTTCTTAAAATAGTAATGCATGCATTTGTAATAAGTCCAGAAAATCATTTTCCTAAAAAATTATTTTTAAATTGATCCTTAAACCAATTCAGACATTTTAAAACGATGCCCAAGCCAAGCCAAGGTAGCAGCATTGTGGGGGAGGGAGGGGAGAATAAATCCTTACAGAGAAAAGGTAGAACAAGAAAGGGGTTTTACAGAGAGAGGAGGAGGAGCCTGTTGCACACACCACCATCCCCAGAGAGTGGCTCCTGAGCAAGGCAGCTGTGTGCTGAGCTCTCCCCTCCCCTCACAGTCTCTTCAGAGGCTGGAAAAGCTGTGGAGGACGCGGGGAAACACCAGGAAGGGCTCTGCCAGGCACTGAGGTGCAATGGAGGGGAGGTCTGGAGTGTCTGTTTTGGTGTTTGGGTCTCACGATGCGGCTTGGGTTAGCCTTGGACTTGGGAGCCTCTTGTCTCGGAGTCCTGGGGACTGGGTTTGTTTCCTCTTGCAGGTTACAACCCATAAATGAAGGAAGCTGAGGCAGGAACTGGAATGGGGCCACAGAGGGCTCTTAACCAGCTTAAGGTGTGCAAGAAAATACCCCCCTGGGGCTGGAGAGGGCTCAGTGGTTAGCAGTACTGGCTGATTTTTCAAAGGACTCAGGATCAATTGCCAGCACCTAGATGGTGGCTCACAACCTGTTCTCCAGTTCCAGGGAACCCAGTGCTCCCTCCTGGCCTCCGTGGGCACCAGTCATATATGTGACCTAGATGGTGGCTCACAACCTGTACTCCAGTTCCAGGGAACCCAGTGCTCCCTCCTGGCCTCCGTAGGCACCAGTCATACATGTGACCTAGATGGTGGCTCACAACCTGTTCTCCAGCTCCAGGGAACCCAGTGCTCCCTCCTGGCCTCCGTAGGCACCAGTCATACATGTGACCTAGATGGTGGCTCACAACCTGTTCTCCAGCTCCAGGGAACCCAGTGCTCCCTCCTAGCCTCCGTGGGCACCAGTCATATATGTGACACATTGACGTAAAGCATGCAAAACACTTATATGCATAAAATAAAATTTAAAAGTAAAACAGAGTTTGGACTAGTCTCAGACATGGATGCAACCCAAAACTTCGACCCACACCCCAGAACCAGCCCGAGGACCCAGCAACAGGAAGGCAGAGGTCAGAGCACATAAGCTAAAGATTGTGTGTGTGTGTGTGTGTGTGTGTGTGTGTGTGTGTGTGTGTGCACGCTGGGTTATCCAGCTGCTGGCCTTCTAGTGACATGAACTAATACATTTCCTGATCCACGCAGCTTTCAATTTGGACTTTGGTTCCTGTGGCTGAACGTACTTTGTTCTGTGAACAGTCTCCACAGGCCACAGACTGAGGCTGTGTCTGAAGGAACACTTGAGGCAGTTACGTTTGTTGTGTGTGTACACCAGGGCTTGAAACGCTTGGCTTTGAAAACAGCTAACTGCAATTCATTCCCGAATCCCGAAACATGATACACTGAATGGGTGGCGACCAAGGACTTATAACTACATTTATTGGTGCAATAAATTTATTATTTATTACTGAACAAAGAATGCAGAACACACAATGCAAAGAAACCAGCACGGGGCAGGAAGCAGGACCTCAGATGCACCGCATTACACGGTCCAGACATCCAGATCTACGGGAAGCGACTTCTAAAGCGCCGGCCTCCAGGCAGACACCTGCTCTCCCTCCTTTCATCCCACCAAACAGGATCAAGTCGGAGTAAGCCTCTGCAGGCTGATTCTGACGTCAGGGGCTGGGAAGCAGTTCCTTCAGCTAGGACACAGCCACGTGAGAGAAAGTGTCTATACCTGGTGTCTAAAAGCAGAGGAGAAAACACCAGCAAGCCAGAGGCTGGCGGACGGGCCCACTTTCCAGAGTCAACTAGTGGAGTCTTTGCTACAGAAAGCAAAACCACCAGGTCTTTACTGTGGGTTTCAGATTTTACTTAATGAAAAATTATTAAGCCTCCATAATAACATAAATATTACAGAACCGCAGGCAAAGGACTTCCAAACACTCTAAGAGGCTACCGTGTAGTTGGGATCCAGATCCCTATCACACCGTGCACCTACACACAGACGGGAACCATGACTCCAGCATGACATCGTCCAGGGTTCCTGAGGCAGACGGACTCCTCCACCTCCGCTGTCAGACACTCGCTGACCGTGACACACAGCGGGCTGACAGGATGGACATTATGGTGACAGTGGAGGACAGGATTCTTTCTCTACTGCCCACTCACTACAAAGGGTTTCCTGATGGTTTCTGAGCAGTACATCTCAAAAATAAAGTGGGAGGAGTCTGGGGACTGAGTAGTGAACTCTACAGGCTGATTTTTACAGATGCTGCCATCAGTTTAGAATGAATGAGAATCGTCCCACAGCAACCAAATGTTAGATCAAATCATCCATGTTAAAGACTGTCGGCCATGTGAGTAGTTTGAAAGCAGTCTTTAAAACTCAAAGAGTCTGACAGCTCTAATTTGCCATTTAGGTTGTGAGGAAAAAAAAAATCAAAATTTAAGTTGAAAGTTTCACTTTCGGCTCTGACAAAATCCATGGACAAAACAGAATCAAAGAAAAAAACCAATCTGCTTTCTGGGGGTCACTGCTCCTCTCTCAGGGTGGGGTCCCTGCTGTGACAAGCCTGGGGCAGATAGTCCCTAAACCCAGGCTGTGGCAGTCCGAGGTAGCACTAGGATGCAGGGTAACCCACCACAGGGCAAGTTCAAAGGAAAACTTCATTCTCCTAAAGAGTCACGGTAAGTAAAAATCCAAACGAAAACCAGCCCTCACTGCTGCGCTGAGAATACTCTAAGAACTGAAGACCAACGCTGACAGGCCTTGCCTCATCTCTGAGCCCTCAGTGCACCAGCTCAGGCTGGTTGTCCACGAAGGGCAGTACCCCGCTCACATAGTAGGCGATGCCCAGGGACAGCAAAGCAATGACCAGGATCAAGAGCAGGACCCTCCAGAAGCCCAGGTCCTCCACGAACTCCTGCCACGTGGTCCGGAAGCTGGACAGGACCCCTTCGCCCTGCTGCAGGTTGGGGTTGAGCAGAGAGTGACTTTCCATGGCACTGCGGGAGGAAGAGAAAGGGGCGTGAAAACACACTTTACCCGTAAAGCATGGAGCGAGACAAGCTACGGTACCGGGAAGGCTAGCCCTCTGGTGCTGTACTGGAGAACTTCCTGCAGAGATACACTGGCCCAGCAATGTGCTGCCCACAAATACCTGAGAATCCGTGTATCGGTCTTAGACCACAAACTGATAAACCTCAATGACTGGATCCCTGGTTCACTCCAGCAGGCAAGTTAAAACTCCTAGTCAGGATGTCCCAAAGGGTGTTGGGGAGTGGAGTGCACTTTGAGAAGTCAAAACAAAGACCCTGAGTTTGGCCTTAAAGTTTTGTCGCCTGAGCTGAAAGATTACTGAAGTGGACCCGGGAATGAGTATGATCAAGATACATTGCAAGCATGTATGAAGCTGTCAAAAATAAAAAAAAAAAAAAAAAAAACCATTTTGAAAGATCCCCAAGCAGAGACACTAAAATAGGTCAAATGCCTGTCTCCATCAAGACATTAACCCAAGCTCTTGTTTTAGAAGCACCCACACGGAAGCTCACAGCTGCTGGAACTCCAGCTTCAAGGGATCTTCTGGCCTCAGCGGGCACTGCACACGTGATGCACACACATACATGCAACAAAACATTCATACACATAAAATACCTTTTTAAAGGAAAAAAACTGAGTTTAGAATAATATCCAGAGAAGGGGAGCTAACTTGATTTTTAGGTCCTCCCACACAAGTCACCATATGTCTCCCAGAGCCCGTGGAGAACAGCACAGTAAATCCATCGCCTTGGAGGTGGTCACAGCTACACGACAAGGCCACTGCCTGGCTCATCCCTTTGTATTCTCCCTCCACACTATTTAGTGACAGGATTCATGCTAAAAGTTTCTTCTTTTTATGTAGCCCTGGAGGATCTGGAAGTCAGTGATCCTCCTGTCTCCGTCTCTTAGGGCTGAGATTAAAGTCATGGCCCCACCGTCTGGCTAAAATTCATCTTTTAATTATGTGACTCGGTGGTTCTGAGACTTTCACAGGTGTGGACCATCTCCGCGGTCTAATTCCCAGCATGTCACCACTGCTGGGCTCAAGCTGCACCCATTAGTCACCCTCATTGTTCTCCCTGACCCTCGTAACCACTAACCCACTTTCCCCCCGTGAAGTTCCCTATCTGGGACACTGCACACCAACAAAATAAAGAGGCCGTGACCTTTCATGTCTGGCTTCTCCCACAGAGCGTTTTCCGGTATCCATCCTGACCCTAGCATCTGCCAATACGTTACTCACTTTTACGGCAGGGTAACAAACAGGTAACGTTTATGCTTCCTTTAGCTGATGAGCAATCGGTGTGTGCCGAGAAGTGGAACTGTTGGGTCACATGGTAACCGTGTAAGTGTCAACAAGTGGTCAGACTGGTTTCCACAGTGGCCCACTTTCCTATGCTGTCTCCAGAGGGGTCTACTTTCCCCACAGCCTCCACAGGCTACTAACAGCCCACTGCAGCTGTCCGCAGAGTTAAGTACTATGCCAAAAACCTGTGCTTTTGATTTGCATTTTATAAAGTCGCTTTTAAATGGAATTAATCTCAGCTCTGGTGGCACCGGGGTGGAGCAGGAAGGAGAACCGTGCAGCAGTAGTGTTGTTAGTAACCGTACTAACAGACACTCGGGAGCTTCGTGTGCACATGAGCACTGTGTGAGGCCATGAGGACTGGGGCTCAGATCCCTGCACCCATCAACAGGCCAGGCACCCCACATGTGCCTGTAACCCTAGCTCCAAGGGAGGGGAGAAGTGGAGAAAACACGAGCCCTGGGTTCAGGGGAGGCCCTGAGTAGAGAGCGATTGATGGACACCTGGAACCTCTCCTGCCTTCCCACTAGTACAGACGTGCAGAGCAGCAGACACAAATGCACGCACACTCAGACAGAGAGACACACACGTAAATCTTTAAAAGAAGCTTAAAGTAGCCTATTATTTTACAGGAAGATGAAATTACGTCTCCCGTTGTTTTGCAGAGGCGGAGTTAACCACTGCTAAAAGTGCCCTTGGCATATAGATGAAGTGACAGGCAGCAGCTAGGGAAACAGCTCTGCGCCCGAGCACAGAGGGGCCCAGAGCTGCTGGTCAGCTGCACCCTCCGTACCTCTCGCTCTCGGCGGTCTGCATGGTCTCCAGCTTCGAGTGTGTGCCTCGGTTAAATCCTTTCACCTCCTGTTCTTCCAAAGACTCCAGCAGCCGGATGACATCTTTATTCACGCCACGGCGCTTGGCCAGAACTAAAGGGGTAGCACCTTGATGGTTGCTGAAAAAGGCCACAAGGAGAAAGTCAGTGCAGTGGCCACGCCACACGCTAGCTCCCACTGGCTGCTATCAGCGAGGAAAGCGTGGGCCAATGATTCAGAAATCAACTCCAGAGCAGACCTGAGCAAGCCAGAAACTGATCAGAGAACTACTGGATTTGTCCTTCCAGGAAAGGAACATTTAGAAAAAATAAAGAACAAATGTCAGTAAATAAAAGAGAATACCCTAAGGATGAATTGAAAGTCTAGTCAGTCTTTTTTTTTTTTTTTGGTTTTTCGAGACAGGGTTTCTCTGTGGTTTTGGAGCCTGTCCTGGAACTAGCTCTTGTAGACCAGGCTGGTCTCGAACTCACAAAGATCCGCCTGCCTCTGCCTCCCCAGTGCTGGGATTAAAGGCGTGCACCACCACCGCCCGGCCTCTAGTCAGTCTTTGTACACATTGTGAGTATAAGCATGTGTACACTCATATATGTGTGCACACACATACCTCTAGGCTCAGTCTGTGTATACATTATGCATATATAGTCATGTATACTTGCACACATACATGCTTATATACATATATATATATAAAATGTTTAAGAAGAACAGAACAGACCTCAAATCACATTGGCTCCTGTCCCATTCTGCCTGTTGTCATAGAAATATTTGGGGGCATGCTGATCCAGGTGGCCATGGCCGCAGCACACCAGGGCAGCAAGAAGCTGCAGCTAAAAGCTCAAGCTCAGCTGAGATGAGCTGTCCTTTCCCACACGAGAGAGCAGGCTTACTGGGTCAAACAAAACCAAAGCTGCACGGTGTTGTCAAACTGAGGAGGATGCAGGCCCCAGGGCTCCGATAAGGCTAGCTCTGCAGAGGAACTAGGTCCAATTTCAGTCCCATCCTTTTACAACCTGGGTGACCTCTTGACCTACCTATTCCATGTGTAAAAAGAACAAGGGAAGGGCTGGAGCAGGGGCGGAAGTGCTCAACACAAAAATAATTGGATGAAAAAATTTTTTAAAAATAATAAATAGAAACTGAAGACGAGACCAGAGCAGAACTTACCGTGAGTTTATAGCAAGCTGATGAGCAGCCTTCTCCTGCTTCTGTTGACTTACACTTTACAGTTACTTAACAGAAACCAGCTATTATTTCTTAGACACACACGCACGCGCACGCACGCACGCACACGCACACACGCTCCAGGGCTGGCCTGGTATCCCCACACTCCCCTATAAAGGCTTCAGTCTTCGATGCCTTTCTGAACTCCTCGTTACAACGGACCAGCGGGTGATGAGACCCCGGCTCACAGGAAGAAATGACCCGGCTTCAGAGGCTCAAAGAACTCACCAAATATCAATTTTGAGTCCATTGGAGACTAAGAACTGGATGGTGTCCACGTGGCCACACAGGTGGAGGGCAGTGTTGCCCTGATAATCCGTGGCCAGTGGGTCAGCACCAAATTTATGTAGCAGCTGGCAGATGTCCACGTTCCCTCGGGCCGCGGCGAGGTGCAGGCCTGTTCTGCCCCTGGTGTCTCGGATGTTGGGGTCAAAGCCACTTTCCAAAAGCCGCTTGGAATAGGTGAAGTCCCCATCGATGCAGGCTTGAAGCAAGGGCACATTAGTCTGTGAAGAATCATTGACAAAAACGTAGGACATGGTCGGATGTGGCGGGTGGACACTCCTGCAGTGAGAGACAAGAAAGGTGACATTGCTGAGGTCAGACAGCCGGTCAGCGACTCGATTGCGCTTCCTGGCCTCTTCCTCACCACACAACAACAACCACAAAATCACCAATTACGTTTTATCACCCACTAACAGATTTTTATTTTATTTTTTTCACATCTGCCAGATCAAAATGGTGTTAAATTACTGTAAAGGTCTCTTTTACTTTTTAATCTCAAAAAGGTGTTGAAATATTTTTGAAGCTAAAGGAGAACTCAGATTTAAGTTCATTGTCGGAGACACCGTGAGCTGTCAGCTCTGAAGCAGCCGTCCGCACAGCACAGCACTGCGGCGCCTCGCCCAGCAGTGGTGACTGCTCTTCACACATGTGCTGTGTAACTTCACACATGTGCTGTGTAACTTCACACATGTGCTGTGTAACTTCACACATGTGCTGTGTAACTTCACACATGTGCTGTGTAACTTCTACAGGAGACACGACACGGTGACACCTTTAACCCAGAGCACGTCAGATCTCAGGCAAAACTTAAGACTCCATTTTTAAAAGTTAAAGGGATGAGCAGACAGATTTCAAAAACATCATTAAGCCAAACCATTTTTACAGAACGAACCATCTTCTGCTTTACCGTCACCTCAGTACTTGACTGCATCACACTCCTGGTATCTAAGAACAGCGATGAGGACAGGCCAAAGCAGCAGCTGTTCCCAGTCCCACCCAAATCCCCACTCCACGTGGTCCTGCGGCCCGAATCTCCTGGAGATCAGGCACGCGACACGCAGCTCCAGCACCAAGTCCCACTGGTGCTCCAGAGACACCACGCCTGAGAAGGCCTAAGCTGAATCTGGCACTGCCCTGCCTCAGCCAAAATGTGCTTCAACCACAGGTGTGCCTTGGCCGCGTGACAGGCTTCAAGCTCCGGCCTCACTGTTTGAACTTCTGAAGAGAAAACAGGCAGCCAGGGCATTTACAGAGCAGGCTCTTTTTAGAAAACATTTATCTATCATGTGTGCACATCTGTGCACAATGCATGTGTGCACGCCATGGTGCGTGTGTAAAGGTCAGAGAGCAACTTGTGGGAGTTGGTGCTCTCCTTCTACCACGTGAGTCCCAGGCCCCACACTCAGGTCACCAAGCTTGGCTGTGCACACCCTGTCCTTCTGAAGCATCTCGCCAGCCCCTAGAGAGTAGGCCTGTTCACACAGTTTCTCAGGTGAAGTCTTTCTGGAACATGAATGGTACAAGCTTTAACTCCCTCTCCCACGGGCACAGAGTCTGTCAGGGTTCTCAGCTCTCCAACCTGGGATGCCTGACTCCAGAGCTCTGTGGCTGCCCCTGGCTCTGAGGCAGGCGTCAGCCCATACATCCTGAGGATTTATTCTGAGCAGATATCAACATGGGGTGTTTACTGAATGCTACATGACCATAGCAACATCAAGGTAAGCTTTACTACCCGACTTCCCATGAGAGTCCCTACAGGGGCGGCAGTCTTCCTGGGCTTTCAGAAAGATGACCTGGACAGGAATGTAGAGTGTCAGACAGGAAAGACTTGAGGCAAGCAACCAGTCAATGGACAGGAAATGATGGGATCTTGACTTAGAGCAGTGACAGAAGAGGGGACCTTCCGGAGAGGGACACAGAACAACACCGAGGCTGAGCAATTGGTAAGGACCGCTCTGGACAGAGGTCAAGATGAACACTGGTGTAGCACAGCATGAGGACCAGAGTCTCCTGACGCAAGCATGTAGCTCAGGCTGGCCTCAACCTCAAACCCGCCCTGCCTCAGCCTCCCCTAACGGCTCGAAGTAATAAATTATTTATTTATTTTGGTTTTTCTGTGTAGCCCTGGCTATCCTGGAACTCACTCTGTAGACCAGGCTGGCTTCAAATCCAGAGATACACTTGTCTCTGCCTCCTAAGTGCTGGCATTAAAGGTGTGCACCACCACCACCCTGATAAATTCTTAAAAATTAATCCCTAGGGCTGGAGAGTTAGCTCAACATTTAAGAGCACTGGCTGCTCTTCCACAGGACCTGGGTTCAATTCCCAGCACCCACACAGCAGCTCACAGGAGCCTGTAATTCCAGTACTGGAGGATCCGACACCCTCACACAGACACATTTGCAGGGAAAAACACCAAAGCACCTAAAATAAAAATAAATAAATCACTTTTTTTAAAAAAAAAGCACTTGTTGCTCTTAAATAAGACCAAGGTTAGTTCTGGCACCCACGTGGTGGTTCACAGCATCCAGAACTCCAGCTGCAGGGAACCCAGTGCCCTCTTCCGACCTCGGTGGGCATCAGACACTTACGTGGTGCACAGACACACACTTAAAACGGGTCTAGAAAAGTATTTTAAAAACTTAAAAAGGCACAGTTTCCACATGGTGCTGGTCTTCTCGCTCGGATGAAAGACGTAATCCCATCTTAAGAGCTCATTTAATAAAGCAGTTAGCAGTTCTGTGGGCGCAGTCATTTAATAAAGCAGTTAGCAGTCATTTAATAAAGCAGTTAGCAGTTCTGTGGGCGCAGGCTCTAGTTTCCCTCTGCACTAGTCACAGAAACAAAGCCTAACACAAACTGGGTAACAAGAGAACATATTCCAAGTGTTTTCCAAAAGAAAAGGCATGTTGGCTACACCCTGTAAGAAATGATCCTTAAAACCTATCTACTTAGTGTTTTGACTCAGGCCTTCAGGCATGCAGACTGGGAATCTTCTGGAGTAGCCCCGGGCTGGGGAAGGATGTGGCCCTTCTTGTCTGCAGAGCTGGGCAGGGAAGTTGGTCCGTTTCTGTCCTGGAGGAACTGCTTGACCTCAACCCCAGTTAAGACTCCACAGGCAGACAGCGTCTTCCCCTTGGTCAGGGAGGGGACTTGCCCTAGTGCAGGCCGCAGTTCAGTGAGGGTCACACGCTGGAGTCTGCCCCAGAACACACCTCAGGCAAGAGTAACATAGTTCCTTGGTGGCACCCAGACCTGTGTCGAATTCCTCATAAGGTTTGGCAAAGAAATCAGCAATGCACCCAGAACGATCAACAATGACAACGAGCTTCCCTTAGAGCCACGGTGCAGCGTGAGAAAGAACGCAGAGTTCTGGGACACACAAGCAGGTCAAGGGGCCCGTGCACATTCCACAGATCACCTGAGGTGAAGCAGCAACGTGCCAGGCCCCCGAGTACTGAGAAGGGAAGGTGTGACGTGGAGCTGCGACCACTGAAAGGAGCTGCGACCACTGAAAAGAAAGCACAGGCGTAAAGAGTCATGGGGGTTAGCAGCAGGGAGCACTGTGGCGTGCACGAGGGAAGCAGAGGATAACTCCTGTTTTCCCTTCCACCAGGGCCGAAGGCGGTTGTCAGGCTGGGCAGCAGCCCCTTCCTTCTCTGACGGAGCCACCCGCAGGCTGGAGCTGTGGGAAGAATTGGTTAAAGGCTGTGGGAAGCCGCTTCTTCTTTTCTCTTAGATAAATGGTAGGAACGTAACCACTGATGTGTAGGAAAACCTAAAAACTGAAAGACTGCTGGGTCCAATGGTGTCATCTTTCCCACGCAAAAAAAGAACATAACGAAGCCATCTTTGGAGTCGTTTTTCTGAGGGTCGAGCTACTTATGGGGCTCTGTAGGACCAAGCATTAGGATGTTCCCGTCCCAGTGCAAAGTTAGGGGCACAACTCGGTGTCAACAGTCCACTCGCAGCTTTCACATGCCACCCCTGAACGTGGACCTGAAAGTCAAGTCCACACAACGAGGGCTGATTCTGAAGTGAAGGAGGCAGGAGGGGAGACGTGAAGCCCGGCTCACGTGAGGGGCAACTGCACAACAGCAGAGCCATGTTTCCTGCTGCTAGAAGCTGCCTTGGCCATCAGGAACGTGCCTGGCGCTATGCTGCCTGGGAGTAAAGCCAGCTGGGCTCCTTAGCCGTGTGGCTCGGCCCTCGGTCCCCATGACCGCCAGGCTGAGCACAGGGCCCTCCAAGCTGAGGCAAAGCATACTGGTCTCGTGGTAACAGTGGCCTCCAGCAATGAGGTGACTTCTAGTGGGGGCGGGGGCGGGGAATGTAGGGTGGGGAAGAACTGGCTCTGCAGAGTCAGACAGGGTAGCCTGAAAACAGGAGCAGCTGCGGTGGAGGCATCGAGCCCCAGGGAGCACCCCGCCCTTCACGAGGGCCCTGGTTTATAGGGCTGGTCCAGGGGTGGGCACAGACATGTGGGCACTGTCACAGAACTACGGGGTCAAGTCTGGGGTGGGCTGGGCGCAGCCTCACAGTTAGAACTCTTGCCTGTGTGGTGCTGACTGCCTCTCACTCTGGGGTGAAGCAGTCAGCTAGCCGAGCCCCCATGCCAACCAGCTCTGACCTGAACCCTGAACCCAAACAACAACCCAGCAGGAGTCCTGGGTGGAAGCTGGAGAGGCACTCACTTGACGGAAAGTTCCACCCACCACGCTTTTCCATTTATATCCCAAACTCCGGACCCGCAGCCTTGGATCAATGTGGAGGTCTGGGATCAAATTCACTGTGGTCAGGCAGCAAAGTGGTCAGGCAGCAAAGGAAGATGCTCTGTTTTAGTATGGACTGTGCTGATGACCTTAGATCTGTTTCTATATCCAATGCCAACAACAACAATACTGTATCGATTTGTTTCTCACTTTCAAAGTCACTGGGAAAGGCGTGACTAAGTGTTACATTCCGGGTTCAAATGCACTGATGACATCACACCTACAGGGCAACTGCAAGGAGGATTAAAGCTAAGACACTGGAGCAAAATGTAAACAAAGACTGGAGGCCAGGAGGGCCCACGCTGTCTACTACTGCGGAAAGAGGCGCTGCGGAAAACGGATCCCACCTGGATTTTCTACGTCCTACTGGTTACTGTCATCTCTGTAAAGGACTCCAAGGGCTTCCAGATAGAATATAACCTTAACGAGCCACACAGCAAGAGTTTGAGGAAGCCATCAAATCCTGACACTGTGCAATGACTGATGGGAATCTTTGTCAACCTTTAT